TGTCCTGCGGTCCCGTCGGGCACACTGTCTGGTCTCCACCTCCCCTCGTTCTCTACGAACTTGGTGGCGGGTTGTGCGCTCCAGGACGCGGGTGTTCACCAGTTCACCCCTGCCTACGAGCGCGTGACACACTGCACGTGTGCTCGGACGGGCCGTCACCTGGCTACCTTCACTCGACAGCCGGGGTCGGACCTGTACACACTGACCACTGAGTTCGCTCAGGTAGCTGCGTCCGCGTCTGCGTCTGCGTCAGGTCAGCTGTCCGCCCCCTGCTCGTGTCGCTCTCTGGCGCATGAGACTGTCCTCTGGCACCACCGCCTTGGTCACCCGTCTGTGCAGCGCCTTCGGGCCATGCACAAACGGGACCTTGTTGCTGGTCTTCCCAGGGTTCTCCCTCCCCTCCCACCCTCGCCTGCTCCTCCCTGTCTTCCCTGTGTCGAGGGGCGGCAGCGCGCCGCTCCTCACTCCTCCTCCTTTCCCCCGACGACTGCTCCTTTGCAGACGCTCCACATGGACGTGTGGGGCCCAGCCCGCGTCCGTGGTCAGGGTCAGGAGAGGTACTTCCTGATTGTTGTTGACGACTTCTCGCGCTACACCACGGTCTTCCCCTTGCGCACCAAGGGTGACGTCCCTGATGTCTTGATCCCTTGGATCCGCAGATCTCGTCTCCAGCTCAGTGAGCGTTTCCGCTCCGACTTCCCTGTCCTGCGTCTGCACTCTGACAGAGGTGGGGAGTTTTCCTCTGGCCTCTTGGAGGCCTTCTGTCAGCAGGAGGGCATTGAGCAGTCGTTCACGCTTCCGGCCTCTCCACAGCAGAATGGGGTTGCTGAGCGCCGCATTGGCTTGGTCATGGAGGTCGCTTGTACCTCCTTGGTTCATGCGGCGGCTCCCCATTTTCTGTGGCCGTTTGCAGTCCGATACGCTGCGCATCAGCTCAACCTCTGGCCCCGTGTCTTCTTGCCGGAGACTTCTCCGACACTGCGTTGGACGGGAGAGGCTGGCGATGCGTCGCGTTTTCGGGTCTGGGGATCTCGAGCTTTTGTTCGCGATACGTCCGCGGACAAGCTCTCCCGTCGAGCTGTCCCCTGTGTCTTCCTTGGCTTTGTCCCGGACGCGCCTGGTTGGCAGTTCTACCACCCCACCTCGCGTCGTGTCCTGGCCTCTCAGGACGTCACTTTTGACGAGTCCGTCCCCTACTACCGCCTCTTCCCCTACCGCACTGCTCCACTCCCCCCCCCGCCTCTCTTCCTGGCTCCAGGTGCTGAGGTACCAGACCCCCTCCCCCCTCAGGGTGCCGCTCCCTCAGGTGTGTCCCAGGTAGACCCGGGTGAGCCTGTCGAGGTAGCTGTTGACTCTCGTCCTGCTGGGGGTGCTGAGCCTGACCGTGAGGAGCCTGGGGGTGCTGAGCCTGGGGGTGCTGAGTCTGGGGGTGCTGAGCCTGGAGGTGCGGAGCCTGGAGGTGCGGAGTCTGGAGGTGCTGAGCCTAGGGGTGCTGCGTCTGGGGGTGCTGCGTCTGGAGGTGCTGAGCCTGAGCGTGCTACACCTGGAGGAGCCCTCTCCTCCCAGCAGCTGCAGGAGAGGTACCTACAGTACTGCCGCCTCCGGAGAGGTGCTGCTGGAGCTCGTACCAGTACTTCCCCTCCTACCCAGGAGCTCCCCCCCATTCAGCAGATCCGAGAGTGGTACGCGCGGCGCTGCAGTCTTCGGAGTGGTGCTCCTAGTGCTGCGGACCCTGGAGGTGGCGCTGCTACTGGTACTGAGGACCTGCGCGGTGGCGCTACTGCTGGTGCTGAGGACCTGGGCGGTGGCGCTGCTGCTGGTGCTGAGGACCCGGGCGTTGGAGCTGCTACTGGTGCTGAGGACCCGGGCGGTGGAGCTGCTGCTGGTGCTGAGGACCCGGACGTTGGAGCTACTGCTGGTGCTGAGGACCCGGGCGTTGGAGCTGCTGCTGGTGCTGAGGACCTGGGCGGTGGCGCTGCTGCTGGTGCTGAGGACCCGGGCGTTGGAGCTGCTACTGGTGCTGAGGACCCGGGCGGTGGAGCTGCTGCTGGTGCTGAGGACCCGGACGTTGGAGCTACTGCTGGTGCTGAGGACCCTGCTGCTGGTGTCTCTATTGGTTCTGGAGACGCTGCGCGGCCGCGACCGTACTTCGTACCACTCCTTCAGCAGGTTCTTGGTCAGGCTCCTCCTCCTTGTCCTCCTCCCTCCGTAGAGTGTCCTCCGCCTGTCCAGCCGCAGTCACAGTTACCGCCTGCCTCGCCTCTCCCTGCTCCCTCTCCTTACACTGGTCCCACAGGAGGTCTTACAGAGCGTCGTGAGCCTGAGTCTCGTCCTGCGTCGCCTGTTCGTACTGCTCGCACTGGTCGTCGTGTCCCACGTGAGCGTCCTCCTCCTGTCCCTGGCACTCACTACATGACTCTACGTCCCTCCACTGCTCCTCAGCGTGTCCCGCTACCGTCTCCTCCTGCTTCCTCTCTTCCTACTCTTCCTGACCCGGAGTCTGACTCCCGTCGTGCTGCCAGTCCCACTGTCACGCGTCTCCTCGCTACTGTTGTCACTGACCCTACCTTTGAGTCCTCTGCTGCGTCTGCGCTGGTCGCTGAGTTGGTTGACTTTGCTGCCCGGTGTCGTCTAGACTACGCTGCTAGCCTTGTCGCTGAGTCTGAGTCTGAGTCTATCTGTCCTCCGTCCGTCGGGGGTGAGTGTGCTCTTGGCACGGACGTCCTTGCGGACATACAGGAGGAGTTCCAGTGCCTTGCTGCTGTTTTGCCCCGTCTCGTGTCCTTGCTAGTTGCCCCTGAGGGAGACCCGGATGCTCCTGACATCCCGACCCCGCGCTCTTACGCTGAGGCGATGGCGGGTCCCTACTCCTCTCAGTGGCAGACAGCCATGGACGCAGAGATGGCTTCCTGGAAGTCCACAGGCACCTACGTCGACGAGGTTCCCCCTCCTGGGGCGAACATCGTCAGTGGCATATGGATTTTCAGGGTGAAGCGGCCGCCGGGTTCTCCTCCTGTCTTCAAGGCGCGCTACGTTGCTCGAGGCTTCAGCCAGCGAGAGGGAGTAGACTTCTTCCAGACCTTCTCCCCCACCCCGAAGATGACCACTCTTCGGGTGCTGCTGCACATAGCCGCTCAGCGCGACTACGAGCTTCACTCACTTGACTTCAGCACTGCTTTCTTACAGGGCAGCCTGCACGAGGAGATCTGGCTGCGTCGCCCTCCTGGTTTCACTGGGTCGGTTCCTCCTGGTACCCAGTGGAGGCTCCAGCGGCCGGTCTACGGTCTCCGCCAGGCACCACGTGAGTGGCACGACACACTGAGGACGACACTTGCGGCTCTAGGGTTCGCTCCCTCTACTGCTGACCCGTCACTATTTCTACGCACAGACACCTCGCTGCCACCGTTCTACATCCTCGTGTACGTCGACGACCTGGTCTTTGCCACTGCTGACACCGCGGCACTCGCCCACGTGAAGTCGGAGCTGCAGAGGAGACACACGTGCACAGACCTGGGGGAACTGACGAGCTATCTTGGCTTGCGGATCACCCGGGACAGAGCACGGCGCACCATCACCTTGACTCAGTCACACATGGTGCAGCAGATCCTTCAGCGCTTCCGCTTCATGTACTCCTCGCCTCAGTCCACTCCTCTGCCTACCGGTCACTCGCTCTCAGCTCTGCCTTCGGATGAGTCCGTAGAGCCGAGTGGCCCGTATCCAGAGCTTGTGGGCTGCCTCATGTACCTGATGACCTGCACTCGACCTAACCTTGCATACCCTCTTAGCATCCTTGCACGCTATGTCGCTCCTGGCCGTCACAGGAAGGAGCACATGGATGCCGCTAAGAGGGTGTTGCGCTACTTGTGCAGTATTGGAGGGCGAGACCGAGTTGTACTCACAGGACACTCAGACGCTTCTTGGGCAGACGACCAGGCTACTCAGCGGTCGTCTCAGGGTTACACCTTCAGCCTTGGCTCTGGCTCAGTTTCTTGGCGTTCTACACGCTCTTCTTCTGTTCTCAGCTCCAGTTGTGAGGCTGAGATCTACGCCACAGCCATGGCTGCCCAGGAGCTACGCTGGCTGACCTACCTGCTGACCGACCTGGGAGAGCGGCCTCGTTCTCCTCCAGTGCTGTACGTCGACAACAAGGCTGCCATTGCCTTGTGTGAGGAGCACAGACTGGAGCACAGAACGAAGCACATCGCCCTGCGGTACTTCCTTGCTCGAGAGCTGCAGCAGCGCGGTCAGCTTTGTATTCGTTACGTGGCCACTGAGGCCAACACTGCTGATGTGTTCACCAAGGCGCTTCAGCCTTGTGACCATCAGCGCTTCTGTACTCTGCTAGGCCTTGTGCCTACTGGACCTCATTTGCTTACTTCTTGACCCTGCTTGTACTGTGATCACTATATATATATATACCTGCATGTTCACTCTTGCTAGGTTGTGATCACTGTATCTCTTGCTCTATTATAAACCTGCATGTGGACTGGTCTTGTGACCGCTTGCTTGTGCTCGGAATTTGTGTGGAATCCTTGAGATCCACCCTGAGCTTGCCTTCCTTTGCTTTGACTGGTCTCGTGACCCTGTGGTTGTCTCCCACTGCGCCTATGGGGGTGTGTCAAACATTATATGTTTATATGATTGTAGGCTGTAGTGGGTTACACCTTAGGGGGTACACTAGATTAGGGTTTCCTACTTGTATCCAACTTTGTGCTAGTACAGTCATTCCTGTCCGTTCATTCTGACAGGCCGAGGCACGGCCGACTGCGCCGGCAGCGCCGACCACGAGGCCGATGACCGCCGACGAGAAGGCAGCGGTCGTCAAGATTGAGAAGGAACAGGACGACGACCTGACGTACGAGGTGAACGTCGTCCATCCCTGGCGCACGTCCAAGACGGTCGAGGCTGCCTGGCGCTGGTGGAACTACCCGTCCAACTTCGACTCGCGTCCCTTGCGCGAACGCTATGAGGAGAAACGATTCCTCGTCAGACACACGCGCATGATCTGCAAGGTCGAAAAGGCCGACAAGCCCGCGGCCTCGCCGAAGTCGGCGAAGAAATCTCGTGGCCGACAACCGTCGACCGACGAAAGTCCCACGACTCCGGAGGGTGAGACGGGGAAGAACGATGCGCTGCAGAACTGCACTCGCCGGATGCGGCGGATCATGGAGGCCATTCACAACTTGCGGCGGAGCGAAAATGACGCTGACACCGCCGCCGTGGTCAAATTACTCGACCACCTGGGGCGGGCGGGTCTTTCTACTTTCAGCGACGCTCTTTTGGTCCTCCGTGCAACCGCGCCCATCAAGGCCCCCACCACAGCCGACGGCAAGTCGACCGGCATCAAGGGTCTGGACAAGCAGCAGCACAAGAAGCTGACCGTTGCGTGGGGCGTCGTCTCGGCGGGCTATGCGGAGCCTGATTGGGGAAAGAAGATCTTCGGCGACTTGTGGGAGGAGCAGGCCACGAAGGTCGGCTCGGAGGCCGAGGCGACCGCGGGAGTGACGGCGGAAGTTTCCGCCGCCGGGAAACGCAAGAGGGCGGGCTGAGGGAAGTGCGTCGGAACCCTACACTTGTAGGGTGGGCTGATGGGGGTGCGGCTGAGGGTGGACGGACGGTGGTCGGCTGAGGGTGGGCTGAGGGCGGGCTGTGTGCGGGCTGTGGGTGGGTTTATGGCGGCCTGTGGGTGGCCTTAGGGCGGGCTGTGGGTGGGCTTATGGCGGGCAGTGGGTGGCCTAAGGGCGGGCTGTGGGTGGGCTTTTTAGCTAGGGTGTCCGACTTGTGCTTGTGAAACCGCATGTTTTTCTCTCAACATTAGCCAATGACTTGCCGACTAGTGTGACTCGTGCTGTCGGTACCTGTACATGCATCAAGCCGACTCATCAAACCGACTTCACAAAACAACCAGCTATCATGTTCACAGTCTCTAAACATTGTTCGGCAACACATAACAACACAACAACGCGCAAACGCGGCCCTAAACTAACTCAGAGAGCCTGGTAGGTCGTCGGCGGAAAAGCCAGCGTCGTGTGCTCCATCGCCGACCGTGACAAGTGCAGTCGGGAAAGCATTCGTCGACCTATGCGTCCACGACCTGCTTCCCTTTGTGCTGGCCCCTCGCCCCCCTGTCCCGAACGATAATCCTCATTGCGGGGTCGACAGGCAAGGCGACGCCGCGAGCCCTGAGCTTCGGGCCTCCGACATAGCACTCCCCCCAGAAGGCGAGGTTCTCGATCATGACACGGGCGATAAGCTCGTCGTGCTCGCGCTCCTCTCCGCCCTCAGGCAGCGACCTCACCACAGCCGCCTGCAGGTCCTTCGTCACCGTTTCGGCGACCTCCTCTTCGCCGACCTCCCGAGCGGACGCCTGCTGAAGCACCGCCTCGATGACGCTCTTGCACCGACTCGCGAACGCAGCGGACGCTCCGCGGACGGTGGCTGCCGCCCCCCCTTCGCCTGCCGCTTGTTCCGGCGTGGCATTGGTCTCCGAAAAAGCACCACACCGCGCACGCCGTCCCGGCGAGGATGGCCGACAACCGCTCCGACGTGACGCCCGGGATGGGCGAGACTTTCGCGACCACAGGTGCGTAGGCGGCACACATCACCACGCGCGCGATCATGTCGCTCGCCATCTTGTTCTTGGCGGCCTTCTCGGGATCGGTCGACTCCGGCAGGTCGAGGAACCACAGCGCCGGACCAAGAACTGCATTAAGAGCTGCGCGGCCCTCCTTGGTTATCCTGTTGTACTCGTTGACGACCTCTTGGAACCTGCGAAACAAAGCAACGCAGCACGCAAATTGTCACCGACCGACCCCCGCAAACCGACCGTAACGAGCACCTAATCGACCATTCGCCAAGCGTACCTGTCGCGGAAGACGTTTGCGCCATGGCTCCACATGATCATCCACATGCCGCACGGAATCAAGCGCGCCACCTCCCAGTCCGCCTTATACCGCTCCATCACTTTCGCCTCGACCCCAGCGAACTCGGCGAGAATGACCTCGCTCACGTAGCCGTCGAACGATGAAACGGCGACGGCGATGCTGTCAAACATTATGTGTTTGTATTGTTCTAGCCTGTAGTGGGTGATACCTTAGGGGGTACACCTAGTTAGGGTTTCACATTTGTACTCCTGTTTCTCTTAGTCACAGACATTCCAGTCTCGTAATCTTGACATGGTTTCAGAGCAGGTCCTTCCCTAGGACCGTTCTTAAGGGCCCACCTACCTACCTACCTACATACCTATCAAGCGCCCCTAGTGCGCCTCCTATTGCGCCCCTAGTGCGCCTCCTATTGCGCCCCTAGTGCGCCTCCTATTGCGCCCCTAGTGCGCCATCTTTTTTTTACCGCGCGCGATCTGCTAGCCGCCCGCGCGCGGCCTATTTCGTGCGCGCGACCAGCCAGCAGCCCGCGCGCGGCCATTTTTCGCGCGCAGTTCGCTAGCCGCCAGCGCGCGCGGTTCTTTTTCTTCGCGCGCGGCCCGTCGCGCTGCCCGCGCGCCTTGTGTGCTGCGCTCGACCCCCCGCGCCTTCGTCGCCGCGGTCGGGCCTGCAGCAACAGCCGCGGCAGAGACTGCAGTCGCGGCTGTCGCAACTGCTGCAGCAGCCGCCGCCGCCTCTCCTGCCGCGGCCGCCGCTGCATCTACAGCAGCTGCAGCCGCCGCATCTACTGCAGCAGCCGCCGCTGCAGCTACAGCAGCAGCAGCCGCCGCATCTTCTGCAGCAGCCGCCGCTGCATCTACAGCAGCAGCAGCTGCCGCATCATCTACAGCAGCGGCCGCCGCCGCATCTACGGCAGCAGCAGCCGCCGCAATCTACAGCAGCGGCCGCCGCAGCTACAGCAGCATCAGCCGCCGCTGCCTCTGCAGCAGCAGCCGCCGCCGACCCAGCAGCAGCAGCCGCCGCCGATCCTGCAGCAGCCGCAACCGCCGAGTCTACTCCATCGGCCGCCGCCGGCCCTGCAGTCCCTACTGTAGCCGAACCTGCAGCAACTGCCGCCGCTGTCGCGACTGCCCCGGCCCTGCCTTGCCCTGCTGCTACTGTCACTGCCACGTTTATTACTTACTTTTCCTCCTCCTGCTACCATGGCTACTGCTCCTGTTCTAGCCTTCGACGCTGAGGGCCGCCCAGTGAAATTTGACACCTGGCTCGATGATCTGCACCTTTTCCTACAGCTCACTGCCAAGGAAGACATTTCACTGTACGACCACGCCCTAGGCCATGCTACTGCCCCTGACTCCTCTGCTGCTAGCACACTGCGCTCCCAGTGGCAGACCCGCGACGCACACGCTCGCTTTGCTATCCGCAACTCCCTGCCGCTAGATGAGCGCGAGCACTTCGGCCAGTGCAAGACTGCTAAGGAACTGTACACAGCCGTAGTTGCTCGCTACTCCTCGCCTGCGTCTGCCACCCTAGGCCGCCTCTCCCTGCCCTACCTGTTCCCCGACCTGGCCTCCTTTCACACTGTCGCTGATCTCATCACCCACCTCAAGACTAGTGAGGCCCGTTTTCGCGCTGCTATGCCTGCCGAGTTCCTTGCTAGCAACCCCCCCCCCGCTGTGGCTCACCCTCTACCACATTGTCACCCGCCTCCCTGACTCTCTGCGCACAGTCAGGGACTCCTTTCTAGCTCGCTCCCCTACTGAGCTCACCATTGCCCTCCTCGAGAAGGACCTACTTGCAGCTGAGGCGAGCATCGTCGCCGTAGGTGCCTCTCGTGGCGAGCCCCGCACCCCCTTCTTCGAGGGGTGTTCCCCTTCCCCCCTTCTCCCCTCTGTCGCCACTGCTGCTGCTGTCGACCTCCTTGGTGCTGAGAAGGTCGGGGCTGCGTCTGCTTCGAGCGGGCGCCGCAAGAGCAGGGGGGGCAAGGGTGGGGGTGGAGGCGGGGGAGGCGGGGGTGGAGACAGTGGAGGTGGCGGTGGGTCTGGAGAGGCTAGTGGCGGCAGTGGGGGTGGTGACAGCGGCGGCGGGGGTGGTGGCAGAGGCGGAGGTGGCAGCGGCGGCGGTGGCGGTCGTGGCCGTGGCAGGGGTGGAGGTGGCCGAGGCGGTGGCGGTGGCGGTGGTGGTGGTGGCCGTGGAGACGCTGGAGGTGGCCAGAGTCAGCAGCACGCCCCGACCCTCCAGGCCGCCCGTGAGTGGTATGCGCAGCGTGGGTACACTTGCACGTACGTCATCCGCACTGGTGACCGCACTGGCCAGCCATGTGGGAGGCCGCACCCCACGCAGCGCTGCTTCCAGCGCCTGACTGACGCGTGGCGCATCCAGTTTCCTGGGTCTACTGAGCTCCCCCGCTGGCCTGAGCTGGAAAAGAAGGGTGTTGATATCTGGGCTTTAGACTTTGATGCTATTCTCACTGCTATGTATGCGATGTCTATTAGTGGAGAGGGTGCCCAGTACTTGCGTGTTCCGCCCGACCCGGGCATTCAGGCCAGCCCAGCTGCTGCTCTAGGTGCTAGTGTGTCTGCTCCCACAGGTCCTGCTGCAGCAGCTGCCCTAGGTGCTAGTGCGTCTGTGCCCCCTGGTACTGAGTCGACTGCAGCACTGCACACCTTCACACTGGACTCAGGTGCTTCTCGCTCTTTCTTTCGTGACCGCACTGTCCTTGAGCCACTAGCTCGGCCGGTTGCTGTCTCTCTTGCTGACCCCTCTGGGGGTCCGGTCATTGCGACCTCCTCCACTACACTTCCGTGTCCAGCGGTTCCGTCCGGCACGCTCTCAGGTCTCTACCTCCCCTCGTTCTCTACGAACTTGGTGGCAGGTTGTGCGCTGCAGGACGGGGGTGTTCACCAGTTCACCCCTGCCTACGAGCGTGTGACACACTGCACGTGTGCTCGGACGGGCCGCCACCTGGCTACTTTCACTCGAGAGCCGGGGTCGGACCTGTACACACTGACCACTGAGTCCCCTCAGGTAGCTGCGTCTGCGTCTGCGTTAGGTCAGCTGTCCGCCCCCTGCTCGTGTCGCTCTCTGGCGCATGAGACTGTCCTCTGGCACCACCGCCTTGGTCACCCGTCTGTGCAGCGCCTTCGGGCCATGCACAAACGGGACCTTGTTGCTGGTCTTCCCAGGGTGCTCCCTCCCCTTCCCGACTCCCCTGCTCCTGACTGCATTCCCTGTGTCGAGGGGCGGCAGCGCGCCGCTCCTCACTCCTCCTCCTTTCCCCCGACGACTGCTCCCTTGCAGACGCTCCATATGGACGTGTGGGGCCCAGCCCGCGCCCGTGGTCAGGGTCAGGAGAGGTACTTCCTGATAGTTGTTGACGACTACTCGCGCTACACCACGGTCTTCCCCTTGCGCGCCAAGGGTGACGTCCCTGGTGTTTTGATCCCCTGGATCAGCCGAGCCCGTCTCCAGCTAGGCAAGCGCTTTCACTCGGACTTTCCTGTCCTGCGCTTGCACTCTGACAGAGGTGGTGAGTTCGCCTCCGACCTCTTGGCAGCCTACTGTGCTGAGCACGGCATTGAGCAGTCGTTCACGCTTCCGGCCTCTCCGCAGCAGAATGGGGTCGCTGAGCGCCGCATTGGCCTAGTCATGGAGGTCGCTCGTACCTCCCTGACCCATGCGGCTGCTCCCCACTTTCTGTGGCCGTTTGCGGTCCGATACGCTGCGCATCAGCTCAACCTCTGGCCCCGTGTCTCCTTGCCGGAGACTTCCCCGACTCTGCGGTGGACGGGAGAGGTTGGCGATGCGTCGCGTTTCCGGGTCTGGGGATCTCGAGCTTTTGTCCGCGACACGTCCGCGGACAAGCTCTCGCGTCGCGCCGTTCCCTGTGTCTTTCTTGGCTTTGTGCCTGACGCGCCTGGATGGCAGTTTTACCACGTCACCTCGCGCCGGGTTCTGGCCTCTCAGGACGTCACTTTTGACGAGTCCATCCCCTACTACCGCCTCTTCCCCTACCGCACTGCCCCGCTCCCCCCCCCCCCGCCTCTCTTCCTCGCTCCAGGTGCTGAGGTACCAGACCCCCTCCCCCCTCAGGGTGCCGCTCCCTCAGGTGTGTCCCAGGTAGACCCGGGTGAGCCTGTCGAGGTAGCTGTTGACTCGCGTCCTGCGTCTGGGGGTGCTGAGCCTGGGGGTGCTGAGTCTGGGGGTGCTGAGTCTGGGGGTGCGGAGCCTGGGGGTGCTGAGCCTGGAGGTGCGGAGCCTGGGGGTGCTGAGCCTGGAGGTGCGGAGCCTGGAGGTGCGGAGCCTGGAGGTGCTGAGTCTGGGGGTGCTGAGTCTTCGGGTGCTGAGCCTGAGCGTACTACACCTGGAGGAGCCCTCTCCTCCCAGCAGCTGCAGGAGAGGTACCTCGAGTACTGCCGCCTCCGGAGAGGTGCTTCTGGAGCTCGTCCCAGTACTTCCCCTCCTACCCAGGAGCTCCCCCCCATTCAGGTGATCCGAGAGTGGTACACACGGCGCTGCAGTCTTCGGAGTGGTGCTCCTGGTGCTGCGGACCCGAGCGGTGGCGCTGTTGCTGGTGCTGAGGACCCGGACGCTGGAGCTGCTGCTGGTGCTGAGGACCCGGGCGTTGGAGCTGCTACTGGTGCTGAGGACCCGACCGGCGGCGCTACTGCTGGTGCTGAGGACCTGACCGGTGGCTCTGCTGCTGGTACTGAGGACCCGGGCGTTGGAGCTTCTGCTGGTGCTGAGGACCCGGGCGTTGGAGCTGCTGCTGGTGCTGAGGACTCGGGCGTTGGAGCTACTGCTGGTGCTGAGGACCCGACCGGTGGCGCTGCTGCTGGTGCTGAGGACCCGGGTGTTGGAGCTGCTGCTGGTGCTGAGGACTCGGGCGTTGGGGCTGCCGCTGGTGTCCCTGCTGGTTCTGGAGACGCTGCGCGGCCGCGACCGTACTTCGTACTGCTCCTTCAGCAGGTTCTTGGTCAGGCTCCTCCTCCTAGTCCTCCTCCCTCCGTCGAGTGTCCTCTGCCTGTCCAGCCGCAGTCACAGTTACCGCCTGCCTCGCCTCTCCCTGCTCCCTCTCCTTACGCTGGTCCCACAGGAGGTCTTACAGAGCGTCGTGAGCCTGAGTCTCGTCCTGCGTCGCCTGTTCGTACTACTCGCACTGGTCGTCGTGTCCCGCGTGAGCGTCCTCCTCCTGTCCCTGGCACTCACTACATGACTTTGCGTCCCTCCACTGCTCCGCAGCGTGTCCCGCTGCCGTCTCCTCCTGCGTCCTCTCTTCCTACTCTTCCTGACCCGGAGTCTGACTCCCGTCGTGCGGCCAGTCCCACTGTTACGCGTCTCCTCGCTACAGTTGTCACTGACCCGACCTTTGAGTCCTCTGCTGCGTCTGCTCTGGTCGCTGAGTTGGTTGACTTTGCTGCTCGCTGTCGCTTAGACTACGCTGCCAGCCTTGTTGCTGAGTCTGAGTCTGAGTCTGCCTGTCCTCCGTCCGTCGGGGGTGAGTGTGCTCTTGGCACGGACGTCCTTGAGGACAGACAGGAGGAGTTCCAGTGCTTTGCTGCTGCTTTGCCCCATCTCGTGTCCATGCTTGTTGCCCCTGAGGGAGACCCGGATGCACCAGACATCCCGACCCCGCGCTCTTACGCTGAGGCGATGGCGGGTCCCTACTCCTCTCAGTGGCAGACAGCCATGGACGCAGAGATGGCTTCCTGGAAGTCCACAGGCACCTACGTCGACCAGGTTCCCCCTCCTGGGGCGAACATCGTCAGTGGCATGTGGATTTTCAGGGTGAAGCGGCCGTCGGGTTCTCCTCCTGTCTTCAAGGCACGCTACGTGGCTCGAGGCTTCAGTCAGCGAGAGGGAGTCGACTTCTTCCAGACCTTCTCCCCCACCCCGAAGATGACCACTCTTCGGGTGCTGCTGCACATAGCCGCTCACCGCGACTACGAGCTTCACTCACTTGACTTCAGCACTGCTTTCTTGCAGGGCAGCCTGCACGAGGAGATCTGGTTGCGCCGCCCTCCTGGCTTCACTGGGTCGGTTCCTCCTGGTACCCAGTGGAGGCTTCAGCGGCCGGTCTACGGTCTCCGCCAGGCGCCACGTGAGTGGCACGACACACTGAGGACGACGCTTGCGGCTCTTGGGTTCGCTCCCTCTACTGCTGACCCGTCGCTGTTTCTACGCACCGACACCTCGCTGCCGCCGTTCTACATCCTCGTGTACGTTGACGACTTGGTCTTTGCCACTGCTGACACAGCGGCACTCGCCCACGTGAAGTCGGAGCTGCAGAGGAGACACACGTGCACAGACCTGGGTGAGCTGACAAGCTATCTTGGCTTGCGGATCACCCGGGACAGAGCACGGCGCACCATCACCTTGACTCAGTCACACATGGTGCAGCAGGTTCTCCAGCGCTTCCGCTTCACGTACTCCTCGCCTCAGTCCACTCCTCTGCCTACCGGTCACTCGCTCTCAGCTCTGCCTTCGGATGAGTCCGTAGAGCCGAGTGGCCCGTATCCAGAGCTTGTGGGCTGCCTCATGTACCTGATGACCTGCACTCGACCTGACCTTGCATACCCCCTTAGCATCTTAGCACGCTATGTCGCTCCTGGCCGTCACAGGAAGGAGCACATGGATGCTGCTAAGAGGGTGTTGCGCTACTTGTGCAGTACGTCGGGCATGGGGCTTGTGCTTGGAGGGCGAGACCGGGTTGTTCTCACAGGGCACTCAGACGCTTCTTGGGCAGACGACCAGGCTACTCAGCGGTCGTCACAGGGTTACACCTTCAGCCTTGGCTCTGGCTCAGTTTCTTGGCGTTCTACTCGTTCGTCTTCTGTTCTCAGCTCCAGTTGTGAGGCTGAGATCTACGCCACAGCCATGGCTGCTCAGGAGCTGCGCTGGCTGACCTACCTGCTGACCGACCTCGGAGAGCGGCCTCGTTCTCCTCCAGTGCTGTACGTCGACAACAAGGCTGCCATTGCCTTGTGTGAGGAGCACAGACTGGAGCACAGAACGAAGCACATTGCCCTGCGGTACTTCCTTGCTCGAGAGCTGCAGCAGCGCGGTCAGCTTCGTCTGCGTTACGTGGCCACTGAGGCCAACACTGCTGATGTGTTCACCAAGGCACTCCAGCCTTGTGACCATCAGCGCTTCTGTACTCTGTTAGGCCTTGTGCCTACTTGGCCTCACTTGCTCACTTCTTGACTTTGCCTGTACTGTGATCACTATATATTTATATACCTGCATGTTTACTCTTGCTAGGTTGTGATCATTGTATCTCTTGCTCTATTATAAACCTGCATGTGAACTGGTCTTGTGACCGCTTGCTTGTGCTCGGAATTTGTGTGGAATCCTCGAGATCCACCCTGAGCTTGTTTGCCTTGCTTTGCCTTGACTGGTCTTGTGACCCCTAGGTCTCCCCCACTTTGCCTATTGGGGGTGTGTCAAACATTATATGTTTGTATTGTTCTAGCCTGTAGTGGGTGATACCTTAGGGGGTACACCTAGTTAGGGTTTCACATTTGTACTCCTGTTTCTCTTAGTCACAGACATTCCAGTCTCGTAATCTTGACAGATGCAGTAGGCTGCCTCGGTCTTGTCGTTCGAACGGCAGACGTAACGGCTCTTCTTGCCAAACTTCATCTCCGACGTGGCCAGCCCCGTCTTTTCGTCAACTCGGACGCCTGAACCCTTCCGACCCTTCGTCTCCGACGTGGCCGCTTTAGCCGTCCCGGCCTTGCCCTTGCCCTTGCGCTTATGCTTCCCGTCGCCGACCTCACCGGTTTTGGCCGGGGGGGATTTGGCGCCAGTCGCGCTGGGGCCCACCGCAGGTGCAGACGAGGCGGCCGGTGTATCCCTTTGCGCTTCCGCAGTCGGGGCTGCTTCTTCCACTTTATCCTTAAGGGCCTCGACCTCAGGGTCCGGCATCACGATAGAGGCGAGGATTGCGGGGTCCACCCCGCCGGCCTCTTCCATCAGTCCCCAAAGAGCCGCCTCCTCCGTTGTGGTGACGCTCGCCCCTGCAGTCGCTGCCGTGGCGTTCCCTGTCTCTGCTCCTGGGTCGACCGCCTGGTTCCTAGCCGCCGACGGAGGAACTTCTGGGCCACTCTGATCCTCGAGCCATTTCAGATACTCCTCCCACGTTCCCTTCCTGTTGATTAGAGCCTCGACCGCTGGTGAAGCCGCGGGCACTGGTATCGCTTCCACGCCGACCATACCGGCCTTTTGACCGGGTAAGCTGGCCGCAGCGTCAGTCACCGTGGTGGGCGGAGGCGGGTTCGGCAGCGACACATTCGTCTCAACTCCGCCGGGCGTCCCGTGGGCAGTACCCGCTCGGTGAGGCGCTGGTGCCGACGCCGACACAATCATCGGTGTGGCAGCCTCGACCACGCCGCTGGGTAGGACTCCTGTGGCTCGCTGCACGGGGCGGAAAGGCTCGTCGGCCAGGAGAGCCGCCGTGCCACCCGGGCGCGCGCTACCCGCCGGACTCGTCAAGGGGTGAGGATGCTGGCCCGCAGCGGGCTGCCCTCCCTGCTGGCCGACCACCGCCGCCGACCGCAGGAGGTCGTCGGCCAGCTGCGCCCTGACCGCACCAGGTCGCGCGTCTGGAGCAGTCGCCGTGCTCGTCGAGGGGGGAGGATGCTGGCCCGCAGCGGACGGCCCTCCCTGCTTGCGTACAACCGCGGCGGACCGCAGGAGGTCGTCGGCCAGCCCGGCACCCGGTCGGGCGTCTTGACCCGTCGCCGAGCTCGTCGAGGGGTGAGGATGCGGGCCCGCAACGGACTGCCCTCCCTGCAGGCGTACAACCGCGGCGGACCGCAGGAGGTCGTCGGCCAGCCCGGCACCCGGTCGCGCTTCTTGAGCCGTCACCGAGCTCATCGAGGGGTGAGGATGCGGTCCCGCAGCGGCCTGCCCTCCCTGCTGGCGTACAACCGCGGCGTCGTCGGCCAGCCGGGCACCCGGTCGCTCGTCTTGAGCCGTCGCCGTGCTCGTCGAGGGGTGAGGATGCTGGCCCGCAGCGGCCTGCCCTCCCTGCTGGCCGACCACCGCTGCGGGCGCCAGAGCCAGCTGCACTGTGTCGCCGGTCGGTCTCGCAGTCGCCGTACCCGTCGAGGGTTGAACATGCTGGCGCGCAACGGCCTGCCCGCCCTGCTGGCCGACCACCGCTGCTATGTGCAGGAGCTCCCCGGCCATCTGCGTCGTGCCGCCGCTCGGTGGAGCGCCATGTGCATTCGCCGGACTGGCCTCGGGCAGTGGCTGCCCGCCCGGCATCCCGACCACGGATGCCCCTCCCACGACACCGCCCACCAGATGCGTCTGGTCGCCGCTCGGTAGCGCGTCGTGTACGCTCGGCGGAGTGGTCGCGGCCAAACTCTGCTGGTCCCCCACGGGCTGCCCACCCTGCTTCCCGACCACCGGAGCTGGATCCTGGAGCCCGTCGTCGACCTGTCGAAAATCGGCGCTCGGACGCGCGCCAAGACCCTCTTTCAGCAAGTCGTTGACGCCGGGAATACGAAAATACGGGGCGGCAGGAGGTTCCTTGGCCGAACCGCGCTTCGTCGCTGGTCCTCTGCTTCGCTTAATGCCGCTGGTCTGCTCGCAGGTCAGGGATTTTTCGTCGGTGACCCTTTTCCCGGCGTGCCTTGGCGGCGGCCCATGCTCCTCGGCGGTTGAGCGACCGCCGTGCATCGCCGACGCGAGAGCATTTGGGAGGAGGCTAAACCCGGCGGCTCCAAGCCCCTGTTGGGTCGCGGAGGTGACCGCCTTCTCCACGACCTCCCTAAGCTCTTCGGCGACTTTCGCACTCACGGCCGCGGCGATCGCCTTCGCCTCGCTCTGCATGACGGCCTTGACCTCGGCAGACACGACCGTCTTGATCTTCTCTCCCAGCGCATCTGCCACCCCTCGCAGCAACAGGACGTCGTCTTCATGTCGCCTATTGTTCAAGGCACCGGTTGCCAGGTTCAAGGCATTTACGGTGGGCAGCCACTTGTCGTTCATGTGCTCAATGATGGAGTTGCGGTTTCTGCACGCCTCCTCCACGACCGCCTTCATAGCCTCCAACGCCCCTTCGAGGCTCGCCCCCGACGTCTGCTCGTGAGCGGTCACGCGGTCGGCGACCGCCCCCAGCTTGTGGACCGCCGCCGAAACCGAGGAGTGGAGCGTGTCCATCCGCACCATCTGGTTCTCCAGCCTCTTCTCCGCCACCAGCTTCTCCTCCCTCAGCCTCTTGTTCTCCCGCTCCGCCGCCTTCAGACGCTCCATGACCGCCTTTGACGCCATCCAGGTCGTGGTCGAGCCACCGCTCCCCCGCGCCTTCTTGCCCGACTTGGGTCCGCTTCCACCGCTCTTATCCGCAACCTTCGCACCGCTCTTATCCGCAACCTTCTCACTGGCAAACTGCACTGCCTCCTCGTCGGCGTCCTCACTCTCCTCGTCCTCCTCCTCCTCGTCCAAGCCACCAACCTCATCCCCGCCCCCCTCTTGGTCCTCCTCCTCTTGCTCCTCTTCGCCGCCATCTTTGAACCCGTGCCCGACCGAGTGCGACCCCGCCGCAGCCTCCTCGGCCTCCCCACCCAGAGCGATGCCGGTTCCCACGCCACGACCCACGGACGACGCCTCCCGTCTGCTCAGCGCGGCCTTCTCCACGCAGTCCAACAGCTCCAGTCGGAGCGCCTTGAGGCCGACCAGCTTCGGGTTCTCGACGACGAGCGGATCGTAGCTGCGATGCACGGCGTCCAGATGGCCCAACGACCACGCGAACGCGATCGCCGACAGTAGCCCCGTGCCGGGGGCCTCCTCCCTGAGGAAGTCGGCCAATTTCTGCAACAACGGCGAAGCACATGGCGACGACGACAAAGGTGAGAACACTGCTCGACGACGAAAGCCCAAGCGACTTTGAGACATCGAAGTCGGAAACTCACATCTCGGATGGGGGCCGCAATACTCTTCACACGTGCGGAGATGACTTCGGCGGATGGAGCCTTGTCCTTCCACACCCTTCCCGGATTGTTCAACTGCGCCTTCGCGGCTTCGCCGAAAAAGCTGCGCACGCACGAGACGGACAAGAGCCATCAGACATGGCGGCACAATCGCCGATAGAGAAGAGCGCGACTAGCCGGCGACGTTGTCCCACCTCAAAAAGCTGGCCGCCTCCTTCTCGTGCAGCTTGGAGGAAGTCTTGGGGTCGAGGTGGCGGCAGAAGGTCCCGGGCTCCTCCTCGTCGGGCAAAAGCAGGTCGCCAGGGCGCACAAGAAGCAGAACGCTGCAGTGCCTGCCGGGAAGGGGTCCGCCCCTGCACAAACAATATGCAGGACGACGACATAAAGTGCTGTGTCCGGGAACAACAAGCAGCGCGGTCGGCGACGATCAAGCCTGACGGGCGCGGAACACTCACGCGGTCAACAAGGGTACGGCCACGATTTCGAAGTCGAAGGCCGCGTAGTAAGGCAAATAGTCCGGCTTCGTCGCCGTCCTGGAGGCGCGAAGCCGTTCGGCGTTAATCAGCGCCACCTTGTCGCCTTTACCGAGGCGATTGAGCTCGGTCCTGGGACAAGCAGGGGCAAAAGGGCAGGAGGGAACCGCCTGCGTGGTGAGCTATCCTCTAGGCCAACAAGCCGACAGCGAAACAAGCCGACACAGACGAACGGAACGCACGAGGGCGACGTCGCCGGCACCCCGAGCGCCGGCGCCGACGTAGGGTCCATCTACGCGCTAGGTCGACGACGGCGTGGACCACGAGTTTTAACGACGACCTAGCGCTACGGCAACCATCATCGACTGACCACGTCGACCACGCTGGGGCCGACGAGGTGGACGCCGACCTGTATACGACGTCGACCTAGGCGCGCGACAACCCTTTACAGCTAGGGAACTAGGGAGCGAAGCACGAGGGATGAGCGCTCACGCAGGGCGAAGTCGAAGCAACGCTCCGTGAACTCGAGCCTCTCATCGCGGAGGACGTCGTAGTCCTTCATCTCAAATGTCACTTTGTACCCCTCGCACCCCACAGGCACATCGAGGGGGAAGTCCGCCGGAGTCAGTTCAATCCTACCGGTCGCCATGCTAACACCACCACGGTCTCGGAACGCTACGCTACCACGATGGGGGGGAGAGAGAGAACCTAGGACGAGGGAGGTGCGAGCCAAGAAGAGAGATTGAGGAAAGCGAAGTTGGAACGGAGAAATGAAGGACGGAGCCCGACCCCCCTTCAAGAAATGGCCGTGGGCCGCCGGTCGCCCACGGCAGCACACGGCCGCTCTGGAGCGAAGCAGGCCGAGGCCGAGGGCGAGCCTCCGGCTTCGGCCCGAACCGGGCCTGCCCTCGAGGAGGGGGTTCGGGGGGGTTTGATGCGGTCCGTGCATGGGTGGTCGGGGTGGCGACAGCGAGCCACGTGTCCTATCCCGAGGGGCCAGCGATGTTGACGAGGGTGGGTTGGGGACCCCCGGTTTTCGCATCCAACCCGCCTGCCCGGCGAGGGCAGCCAAAGAGGGTTACTAGGGCCTCGCGGGCAGCGCGAAGCGAACGTCCGCCTCCGTGAAGGGGTTACTAGGCCCGTTCCCGCTCGCTCGCCAGTTCGCCACTCCGAGGGGGTAACGTGGGGTTCTGTAGCAATTCGGGGTGGGGGGCCGGGGCGGGGGTCTTCGGGGCCAGTCCCGCTTCGCGCCAGCCTGGCGGGGGAGTCACGCGAGGGAGTTGGCCGCCCTGACGCTCGGTCGACCGTCACCCCCTTGCGTCGCCCCAGGCAAAACGGGAGCGTCACCCCCGTTTCCGTTGAGCGATTCAGAAAATACTCAGCATCTCATGATCATCTCATGTTTAGGTTTGGGGTGCTAACGACCCAATTTCAAATTGTTGTTCTGTTGCACCATGCCATCGTGGACCGCGCAGCACAAGCTGTCCAACAAGAGGCTCGGTGCTGTACACGGATCGAAAGATTCGATATGTGTGGTTCTCTGTACAGTAACAACTGTATGGTGTAGTCGTATGTTTTGACAATTGTGCAACATGCATAAACACCAGAACGAATTTCGTGGGGAAAGTACATCCCAGCTCCATAGTTTCAGATTTCTCTCATATTTACCCCCAGGTTTACTCAAAAAGTACCAGTTTCTGGACTTTGGCTCACGCGAGGCCCAAACTATGTTCAAAACTGGTCCTGCGGGGCAAAGTTTCCGACACGTGTCCTCTTTTCATACCATCTGATGCACTTCCGCTCTGAAGAAACCGTTTCTGGCCTTTTCTGCCCACCCACTGCTTCTTCTGGTGGGCTCTGGATTGAGGGCTGGCACTGCTGTAGATTCGTCCCGCTGGCCAGAACACTGTGCTGTAACTGTTGTCAAGCCCCCCCACACCCTGAAAACAAATATAAACGCGCCCCAGCCACCCCAGGCCCTCAACCCCACCTGCCTCAACCTTCCCTCTCACTCACGATCCGCAATCCCTTAGCTTCTTCGATCTTGAGTGAGACCCAAAGTTAGGGTTTCCCGTGACGACATATACCCCAGCTGATTGGATGCATCTATATCTATTTGATCACCAGTGTTGGGATGGATAGGAATCTAAGCACGGCAGCGGTGCGGTAGCGGATCGACATTGGGACCGCGATCCTCCGCATGTTCAAAGTTTTCGTATCATAAACTGGCAAAATCTGTGAGTTGCATGCAAGCATTTATTTGCATCCATTAGCGCAGTAGGCCCAGCGCATTGGCCCAGGTTCCGTGGCTCTAACGACCGTGACGCCATAGGAGCGAGAGACTTAGGGTCAAAACCTGTAGCGCCAATGCCCGTCGCGCCAGCGACCTTGGCGCCACTGCGTTTGGCGCCAATGCGCCTGGCGTCACCGCGCTTGGCGCCAACGCGCCTGGCGCCACTGCGCTTGGCGCCAATGCGCCTGGCGTCAATGCGCTTCAAGCGCTAATGCGCCTGGCGTCAATGCGCCTGGTGCCACACCGCTCGGCGCCAATGCGCATGGCGCCAATACCGTTGGCGCTAATGCGCTTGGCGCCAATGCGCATGGCGCCAATGCGCTTGGCGCCAATACCGTTGGCGCTAATGCGCCTGGCGCCAATGCCCTTGGCGCTAATGCGCCGGGCGTCAGTGCGCCTGGTGCCACTGCGCTTGGCGCCAATGCGCTTGGCGCCACTGCGCTTGGCGCCAATGCGCCTGGCGTCAATGCGCTTGGCGCTAATGCGACTGGCGTCAATGCGCTTGGCGCCAATGCGCATGGCGCCAATGCGCCTGGCGTCAATGCGCTTGGCGCTAATGCGCCGGGCGTCAATGCCCTGGTGCCACTGCGCTTGGCGTCAATGCGCCTGGTGCCACTGCGCTTGGCGCCAATGCGTCTGGCGCCACTGCGCTTGGCGCCAATGCGCATGGCGCCAATGCGCCTGGCGTCAATGCGCTTGGCGCTAATGCGACTGGCGTCAATGCGCTTGGCGCCAATGCGCATGGCGCCAATGCGCATGGCGCCAATGCGCCTGGCGTCAATGCGCTTGGCGCTAATGCGCCGGGCGTCAATGCCCTGGTGCCACTGCGCTTGGCGTCAATGCGCCTGGCGCCACTGCGCTTGGCGCCAATGCGCATGGCGCCACTGCGCTTGGCGCCAATGCGCCTGGCGCCAATGCGCCTGGCGTCAATGCGCTTGGTTGTGCTCCCATCCCTGGTTGTGCTCCCATCCCTGGTTGTGCTCCCATCCCTGGTTGTGCTCCCATCCCTGGTTGTGCTCCCATCCCTGGTTGTGCTCCCATCCCTGGTTGTGCTCCCATCCCTGGTTGTGCTCCCATCCCTGGTTGTGCTCCCATCCCTGGTTGTGCTCCCATCCCTGGTTGTGCTCCCATCCCTGGTTGTGCTCCCATCCCTGGTTGTGCTCCCATCCCTGGTTGTGCTCCCATCCCTGGTTGTGCTCCCATCCCTGGTTGTGCTCCCATCCCTGGTTGTGATCCCATCCCTGGTTGTGCTCCCATCCCTGGTTGTGCTCCCATCCCTGGTTGTGCTCCCATCCCTGGTTGTGCTCCCATCCCTGGTTGTGCTCCCATCCCTGGTTGTGCTCCCATCCCTGGTTTTGCTCCCATCCCTGGTTGTGCTCCCTCCTCCTCTCTCATCCCGCGCGCTATCCCCAATCGCTGTGTGTGCCTGCAGGCCTGCTGGACGTGAAAAGATGGCAGAAGGATAAAATATCCCCCTGCCTGGTGAGGAAAGTCCTCCCTCACGTGCCCTTTCTCTCTCACGCACGCCCCCCCATCACCTCCCCTCTACATCCCCTCCCCTCCTTTCCTAAAACCCTTCCCTCCCCTCCCCTTCCCTCCCCTCCTCTCCCCTCCCCTCCCTTTACTAAACCCTCCCCTCCCCTTTCCTCCCCTCCCCTCTCTTTACTAAACCCTACCTTTCCCTCCCCTCCCCTTCCCTCCTCGTACCCTCCCTTCCCCTCCCCTCCCCAACCCTCCCCTTCCCGCCCCTCCCCTCCCCTCCCCGTACCCTCCCCTCCCATCCCCGTACCCTCCCCTCCTCTCCCCTCCCCTTCCCGTAACCTCCCCTCCCCTCCCCGTACCCTCCCCTCCCCTCCCCTCCCCTCCCCTCCCCGTACCCTCCCCTCCCCGTACCCACTTGCCACCCTGGCAGCCATCGCCCTCTCCTGCGAGGTCCTCTCCTTCCTTGTTTCTCTGCTCTTCCGCTTCGCCACGCTGCGTGCCTCCATCTGCATGCAATCCCACAGTTTGGGATCCGTGTTCGCCTCGCCGCTCCCCTTCTTCCACCGGCGTGCTGAACCGCTTCAGCGAGGACGTCGGGGTGACCGATGCTGTGCTTCCACAGTTGCCGCTGGATATCCTGAATGTGAGTTGAAGGGTCGAGAGAGGGGTGGGGGGGAGTGATGGAGGGAGGGAAGATTGAGGAGGGTTCAAAACGAGTTGGATGTTTCACGACATCTGGATACCGTGTAGCACATAGTTGCACCCACCATACTACCAGTCACCCACTCTCCCATCTCCATCCTCCATACTCAATCCCAGTCCTGCTAAACCCGTGCTATCCTTCCCACCCTCCACTTGCCTGCAGCCTTTCGGCCTAAGCATGGCGGTGGTGGTATCGGCGTGCATTGCTGTGCCGTGGACGCTCATCTCCATGCTGCCCTCCTCCCCCCTTCCCAAGCTCACCTCAGATTCTATCAATCCTTCTCTCCACCTCTCAAGGCCTGCCAACCATCCGAGCCTTCTCCCAGCAGCGCCGCTACCCAAGCTCACCTCAAATTCTATCCTCCCGTCCTCTCTCCGCCGAACACTAGATTTGTTTACCTACAGAATTATAAGTTTCCATGCATGAGCCACAATATTATTAGAAATTGTGTATGGTTACAATTCTCTGCAAGCATATGGCTATATATACATTGTGAAGTGATTTTGTACCGCATAAGTAAGATATATCATGCTATCGAAACCCTTGCAACATCTATTACTTCTCTGTCCATTCTCATTTAAAGGGAAGTTGTTGCACTCGTTTTTCAATGCAGCCCAAAAGAGAACATCCTTTGTCTAGGGACGAATTAACATGCCGCTTTGAAACACAAAGAGAGGTATCTATATGATTAGTTTGAGTCTTTGTTTAACACGTAGGCCACACAATGACTAGTTAGAGAATCTGCTCCTTGGTACTTTTAGAACTAGGTATGGGTTGGGTTGGGTACTCAACTCAACCAATGCTTGTGTTAAAAATCCAATCAACCATACACGTCTGCAACCAACAAATCTGGGTCATGCACAACTACCGTTACTGATATGTGTGTCATTCCTTTCTGTATACACACACAAACCGAATGGTGATAATCTCTATTTTCCATCTGAAGATATGGAGGAAAAAGGTGGTGAGAAGACGAGAAGGGTACTGTACGTTAGAGAGGACATGATTCTAAGCAGTCACTGATATGAAAACGGCTTTGTGGGCTATAATACTGTATGATATTGTAATCAGAATATGCTGGCCTTTTCTATGCTGTTTGTAGTTATAGAGACTATTTCAAGATATTTTCTAGAGTATATGGTACGGTATTGGACCACTGCTTGTGTTATACCGGTAGATCCAAACAACTGCACACCTCTGACATCAGTAATTCTGTGCTGTGCAATTAGGGAAATGATACCGTATGTTTGTTGCGTTGCACTGCTTGTGCATATACTCCTATAAAACAAAGCATTTTCTACGGTTTTTATATTCCAACAACTGGATATTTTAACTGCTTAAATAGGGGCTAAATGCCGCGGTACAATGCAAACTCTCCCAGTAGTCTGAGAAGCTAAGTAGTTCCAGTAATATGTTTGAGGATAAGCTGACAAGATCTCTTTATGATCCCCAACTGTACGAATATTTCATCGAAGATTGGCTGAACCAATGGCCTTAATGGTACATTAATGCTTGTCGAGCGCACTCTACTCTTGATCATTGGCAATGGTCAAGGAGAACCACACGGGAGGCATGTCAAGAGATGATGGAATGAGGCGAGACGATTCAAGAAAACTCTTCCGTGTAGTCACTGAAACAGGAATGGAGATGGAGAAAAAGCGAGGGAGGGCTAACGGTGAAGGTGAAGATACGTTATGGTGAAAGCGCAGGCTGTAATGACCCAACTTGAAAGCAGAGATAGGAAGAAGGGTGCGAGGGATAAGAGGAGCTAGGGAAAGGGGAAAGGAGGAGATAGGTAAAGGGGGAGAGCGAAAGTAAGAGATCAGAATAAAGGGGAGAGGGAATGTGGGAGATAAGAGGAGGAAGAGGAAATGGGGAACATAGGAGGACTCGGGTGAAGGAAAGGATGTAGGAAGAGGGTGGAGAGGATGGATGGATGGAGAGGGGGAATGGGGGAGACAGGGACGAAGAGAGAGTGAAAAAGGAGGAGATAGGACAAAGGGATAGATGGATTAGAGGAGATAGGTAGAGGAGATATGGATGATGGGAAATAAAGGGAAGCAGAGGGTGAACTCATTGGAAGCATTGGGGAGATGAGAGGAAACTGGGGAGGGGTAAGAAGGGAAGCAACCATGGGAAAATGTCTGAAGCGGTGGGTGTAATGAATGAAAGCAGGGGGGAGAAATGAGAGGTAGCAGAAGGAGAAATGAGAGGTAGCAGAAGGAGAAATGAGAGGTAGCAGAAGGAGAAATGAGAGGTAGCAGAAGGAGAAATGAGAGGTAGCAGAAGGAGAAATGAGAGGTAGCAGAAGGAGAAATGAGAGGTAGCAGAAGGAGAAATGAGAGGTAGCAGAAGGAGAAATGAGAGGTAGCAGAAGGAGAAATGAGAGGTAGCAGAAGGAGAAATGAGAGGTAGCAGAAGGAGAAATGAGAGGTAGCAGAAGGAGAAATGAGAGGTAGCAGAAGGAGAAATGAGAGGTAGCAGAAGGAGAAATGAGAGGTAGCAGAAGGAGAAATGAGAGGTAGCAGAAGGAGAAATGAGAGGTAGCAGAAGGAGAAATGAGAGGTAGCAGAAGGAGAAATGAGAGGTAGCAGAAGGAGAAATGAGAGGTAGCAGAAGGAGAAATGAGAGGTAGCAGAAGGAGAAATGAGAGGTAGCAGAAGGAGAAATGAGAGGTAGCAGAAGGAGAAATGAGAGGTAGCAGAAGGAGAAATGAGAGGTAGCAGAAGGAGAAATGAGAGGTAGCAGAAGGAGAAATGAGAGGTAGCAGAAGGAGAAATGAGAGGTAGCAGAAGGAGAAATGAGAGGTAGCAGAAGGAGAAATGAGAGGTAGCAGAAGGAGAAATGAGAGGTAGCAGAAGGAGAAATGAGAGGTAGCAGAAGGAGAAATGAGAGGTAGCCTCATTCTTACCTCGCAATGGGGTTAAGCTTGTCCAGCACGACGTCGTTGTTGAGTCTCTTCTAGGGGTGGGCGCCGTTCCATCTGCTCATGTGTCCGTTTTAAGCGCTGCTGCTTCCTCTGATAAAGGCGCCGCTGTCGATTTAGCCTCTGCTGCTCTTTTCGCTACAAAAATTCTTGCTGATGTACCCCACCATCACCGTTGCTCCTGCATCCGCCCACCCCTGTACCAGGTTGATGCTCTGGCTGCGCCTCCCCTGATGGCACATCTTGCCTGTGGGTTCGTTGCTCCTCTACTGCATCATCCACCACTGCCTGCTGCGCCACTTGGCATTGCTGTCGCATCCGTGACAGCCACCGCCGTCGTTCCCCAATCACTCTCTCCACACTCCGCGGCTGTACACCAGCAATTGTTGATGTACTACCAGCACTCTGCCTTGGTGCTCTCATCCCTCCCCTTCCTCCCCTTCCACCCCTCCCTCCGCTTTGCCACACTCGCGGCGCCTCTGGCCTATGCGGATGAGCCCCCATCCCTCCCTGAACAGAATCAGCCCTTATCCCTCCAGGAGCAAGATCAGCCCCCATCCCTCCCTGAGCAGGTTCAGCCCCCATTCCTCTCTGAGCAAAATCAGCCCCCATCCCTCCCTGAGCAGGTTCAGCCCCCATCCCTCCCTGAGCAAAATCAGCCCCCATCCCTCCCTGAGCAGGTTCAGCCCCCATTCCTCCCTGAGCAAAATCAGCCCCCATCCCTCTCTGAGCAGGATCAGCCCCCATCCCTCCCTGAGCAGGATCAGCCCTCATCCCTCCCTGAGCAGGATCAGCCCTCATCCCTCCCTGAGCAGGATCAGCCCCCATCCCTCCCTGAGCAGGATCAGCCCCCATCCCTCCCTGAGCAGGATCAGCCCCCATCCCTCCCTGAGCAGGATCAGCCCCCATCCCTCCCTGAGCAAGATCAACCCCCATCCCTCCCTGAGCAGGATCAGCCCCCATTCCTCCCTGAGCAAAATCAGCCCCCATCCCTCTCTGAGTATGATCAGCCCCCATCCCTCTCTGAGTAGGATCAGCCCCCATCCCTCCCTGAGCAAAATCAGCCCCCATCCCTCCCTGAGCAGGTTCAAACCCCATCCCTCCCTGAGCAAAATCAGCCCCCATCCCTCCCTGAGCAGGTTCAGCCCCCATTCCTCCCTGAGCAAAATCAGCCCCCATCCCTCTCTGAGCAGGATCAGCCCCCATCCCTCCCTGAGCAGGATCAGCCCCCATCCCTCCCTGAGCAGGATCAGCCCCCATCCCTCCCTGAGCAGGATCAGCCCCTTGCTCCTTGTGACCACCTACCACCCCACCTTGTCCAATGAAGCCATCTGTGTCGCATGTAGCGGTGACCCCACTTCTTCCTCTGCCTCCCCTTCCTCCCCTTCCTCCCCTTCCTCCCCTTCCTCCCCTTCTTCCCATTCCCCCCCTTCCTCCTCTTCCTCCCCTTCCTCCCGTTTCACCCCTTCCTCCCGTTTCACCCCTTCCTCCCGTCTCACCCCTTCCTCCCCTTCCCCCACTTCCTCCCCTTCCTCCTCTCCCTCCTCTTTCACTTGCATCCGCTGCTGCAGGCCTGGGCTCACCCTCCATTCGGGCTCCTTCTGCAGGAACAGAATGTACCTCCTCAGCGCCATTCTCCACCCTCCTTTCACCAGATGTCCCTGCTCCCACCTCATTGACATCGACACCACTATGACGGATGGGAGGATATGTTCTTTCAAACAACTCCACCATTGGCTGATTTGCGTGGTTGTCGACATCATTCTCCAATGAAGCATTCTGCTCGACACCCTCAATGTTCTCCCCCTCTAGAGCATCCTCATCCTCAGTATCCTCCTCACCATTAGAAAATGTGTTGCTCTCTCCATCGCTCTCCCTCTGGTCCTGTCCATCTTGCTCTCGCTGTTGCCGCAGGGGTGCGCAAAAGACTCCTCTACGATGCAGATTACCGCACGCGCTGCACGCGGAAAGACTCACAGATGCTTCAGCTTGGGTGGCTGTTTGCACGTTGAGATGGCCCGCCGGCAATCTCATTGCCTCCCAAATGGCATTGCGTTGTGCCCGCAAATCACAGGTCAGCCGGTTATGTCCTTTCTCCCCACACTTTCCGCATTTTCGCAGCTTCCTCCCATCGAGCTCACCATGGGACCTCAGCCTTCTGTCACGTGGCCTCCCAGGCTTCTTTGGGTATGATGGTGCCATAGTTTCACCATCTGGAATGAAGTCCGTTGGGTCCAGACTCTCGAAGGCGTTGCTATAAACTTGGCGTAGAGCAGCAGGGGTGTAAATCCGATCCACAACCTCCATGGCACCAGAACCGGTACCATGGAGACTAAATGCCGCAAAAATGTGGACACACGGCAACCCGTACTCGCTGCAAGTTGGGGAATGGGGCGAGGAGATTACGAGAATATTGTAGTATGATGAGGTTGACTACAAACCAGCACATACAATAAGTGGTGAAGATGTGCAAGGGTTTTGTGGTTGAATGCACTTACCGTGTGTAGTTGCAAGAACACACTGATTTCTTGGGTTCCTGAAGATCAATGCGCACCCGCCTTTGCTCGTTCCCGCTTCGCCGCGTAACCTTGTACGAGATGCGGTGACCGTTCGATGGGTCGAAGGGCCCTGTCTGCTCCGCCCTGTACGACGTCCCCTTCTCTCGGTTTTCCGTAATGATGGCAGAAGTTTTTGTGGGAAAATCGGCCTCATTCAACTGTCCATACGTCTTCCCCATCTCACACAATGCAATGGCTTCTTTCTGGATGAAAGATAGAAGAACCTGAGCTGGATTTTGTCTCCTTACACTACGCATTGTCGCATGGTGTGACTCTACGGGATTAGAGGAGTAACATCCATAGCGTGGTGCCCCGAAGCGTGATGCAGCCCACTTTTGAGATAACCCCTCTTTTTCTAAATACTCCTTCCCCCCCGGACATTCTTCCTCTACCTTGTCCATCATCCCCCTGTAAACGTCCGGTGTTAAGGCAAATGCAGCCAACTCAATCTTTCCATCCACGGTCGAGCCAAACTTCGAATTGAAATTCCGGGTGATATGAGTGATGCAGAAAGACTCACGGATGAGAGGCATCATGAGTAACCTGGCGGCCTTCCATGCCTTCCCACGGTCATGCATGAGTGTAAAGTTAGGAGAATTCAGTTCTGGGACAGCTTCGAGTAGTAGCTGCAAAAAGTAACCACAAGCATCCCCATTCTCACCCTCAACCCAGGCGCTCCCCATTCTCACCAGCTTGTGTTCACAATCTAAAAGAACAGCGTTGAGTGTGCATCCCCCCCATCTTCCCTTGTTGTGACAACCGTCGACAAAAACAATCGGTAAACAGTTTAGGGCTGCTGTTCTTGCACCTGGAAATGTCATTCCCGCCCTCCAAAACATATTGCCTTTCCTTCTCATGGACACAACACTCGTCGGATTCTCCCTCTTGAAAACTTGTAGTATACTTCGCATGTACTGAAACCCTTTGTCTCCAGCAAGGGCATCCTCTGCATTGACCTCATTAATGGATGTGTTGGATGTGTTGTATGAGCAGCTCGTTCCAAGGTGCTCTTGCACGAGATTCCTAAGCCCGTGTGGCCTTAGATCCCCGTATGGCATGACGGCCCGAGCAATCTCTTTAACCTCCGTTCTTCGCACCCTTCCTGCGTTAACGGTGCACCTTGTGAGATGCTGCAGGCAGGCCTCTCTGACTTGAAATCGGCAACCACGGGGACCCCTTGCAAATATGCGAAACGGACATCCGTCAATGGGATGCTCGGCTCCTTTCTCTGGCCATGGTCGTCCTTCCATAGACTTACAACGCGCATCAAGGCGCTCTGCGTCATTGTGCTCCCAATATATGCCCCGTTTCTTCTGTCGCGCATACCTTTTGATTGCTTCCCGAGCTTCTTGAACAGATTGGAAGACCGTCCCCACAGAGAAATCAGTTTCAGTAAGCCCCTGCGCAAACAAACCGCTGCTGAGATTCACTCAACGGGGGCAAATGAGAAAGAGAGTGGGACGCAATATGAGAGGAAAGAGAGAGTTAGCGAGTGGAACGGAGGTAGCAAGGACAATGGTGGGTGGGGGGCCGTAAAAGCAACCAAACGAGAGCAGCATGAGAAGGGAGTTGTAAGCACAGAGCTCGAAAACAGGTGCCGTTAGAGAGTGAAATCGGCAGAGGTAAGGATGATGAGTGGCAGTCATATCACAAGAGAGTGCTAGCTGAAAGATAAAATCTCGAGCAAATAGACATATAGCTACTGAACGTCACGTAGTACAAAGGTATTATTACTTTACACCAGCCCCTTGAAACATTTCGGGTTCGAGGTTTAGAGCCACAGCTGATTAGCGACATGATAGCACGGTTTGGAGAGACTGATGATGTGCAGGACTTGTGGCATTGATGAGCAAGAGTTGGGCAAGAACCAGCTGACGGATAGGTGGGGAAAGATTGCAGGCAGGGCAGGCTAAGTTGTGAGTGACCTGAGTGGAAAGCGATGCAGGCCAGCGTCGAGTCATATAGATGGTCATGCTGGCCAAAAGCGAGGCGCCCGGCGCATTAGCGCCAAGGGCATTGGCGCCAGGCGCATTAGCGCCAACGGTATTGGCGCCATGCGCATTGGCGCCAAGCGCATTAGCGCCAACGGTATTGGCGCCATGCGCATTGGCGCCGAGCGGTGTGGCACCAGGCGCATTGACGCCAGGCGCATTAGCGCTTGAAGCGCATTGACGCCAGGCGCATTGGCGCCAAGCGCAGTGGCGCCAGGCGCGTTGGCGCCAAGCGCGGTGACGCCAGGCGCATTGGCGCCAAACGCAGTGGCGCCAAGGTCGCTGGCGCGACGGGCATTGGCGCTACAGGTTTTGACCCTAAGTCTCTCGCTCCTATGGCGTCACGGTCGTTAGAGCCACGGAACCTGGGCCAATGCGCTGGGCCTACTGCGCTAATGGATGCAAATAAATGCTTGCATGCAACTCACAGATTTTGCCAGTTTATGATACGAAAACTTTGAACATGCGGAGGATCGCGGTCCCAATGTCGATCCGCTACCGCACCGCTGCCGTGCTTAGATTCCTATCCATCCCAACACTGGTGATCAAATAGATATAGATGCATCCAATCAGCTGGGGTATATGTCGTCACGGGAAACCCTAACTTTGGGTCTCACTCAAGATCGAAGAAGCTAAGGGATTGCGGATCGTGAGTGAGAGGGAAGGTTGAGGCAGGTGGGGTTGAGGGCCTGGGGTGGCTGGGGCGCGTTTATATTTGTTTTCAGGGTGTGGGGGGGCTTGACAACAGTTACAGCACAGTGTTCTGGCCAGCGGGACGAATCTACAGCAGTGCCAGCCCTCAATCCAGAGCCCACCAGAAGAAGCAGTGGGTGGGCAGAAAAGGCCAGAAACGGTTTCTTCAGAGCGGAAGTGCATCAGATGGTATGAAAAGAGAACACGTGTCGGAAACTTTGCCCCGCAGGACCAGTTTTGAACATAATTTGGGCCTCGCGTGAGCCAAAATCCAGAAACTGGTACTTTTTTAGTAAACCTGGGGGTAAATATGAGAGAAATCTGAAACTATGGAGCTGGGATGTACTTCCCCAATTTCGTGAAACCCCGAAATTCGTTCACACATCACACACAATTTGGATCACCGAAGCGCGTGTACACCGTGCTGTGTTGCACTCACGGTGTTGGCCTGTGCTGCGCTGGCTGGAGTGAGGGGAAGGTAGGCTCATGCATCTCGATTTGGAACGGAAAGTGTTCTTCCAGGGTTGTCCCGCATGCCATACTTGGGTTGGGGACAGCCCATCCCGCTTTCAGTCCCAGGGTTTTCTCAGCATGCGGAGTACTTTATGGGCTGCCTCAAAATGGAGCGTGTGTGTGAAGACTACCAAAAAAACATAACCCTGAAAATACTCTCCCCGATTTTGCGGTCTCTCTTAGCAAGTGGGATGAGACCTTCTACAGTACAACCACCTACGCTTTCTTGTGCTACCCCCTAACAGAATGTCCGAGTCGGCCCTAGGCTTTCCGAACCTAGGGCCACTACACGCCATATTCAACTTGCCTTGCACACAATCTTTCTTTCTTCAGATTCGACAGCTGGGCAAACAAACAAAGCCCTTACAGTCAAAACCGCGTACAACCCCATGTAAAACAAAGGACTACAGAGCTTGGCATTAAAGGCACTACCAGACGAAACGCGCACTATTGGCGGCTGCAATCTCTAGCCCACAGCCCGATTGGCAAAAAGCTGCTACCCCTCGGGGTCTTGGCGAGCCCCCGAAAAGGGTTAAAAAAAACTAGAAATAACCCCTAAGGACAGATGAACGGGGAGTGTTCCTTGTCGGGAGACAACCCTCGTTGGATAGGAAGAGAATGGGGGTAACTTCTTTTTACCCAGAGTTTTGCCCCAGTTGAACCATCTGCAAAGTCGAAACGGGAGACTGCCGTTGGTGCAGCCAGCGGAAACTCAGTAGTTTTTGCCCGTGAAGCACTGTTGCTTGACTGGCTGGCAATAGTGCTTTGACCGCGGTTCGCAGTGAAAATTACCACACCAAATTGGTAGGTGTACCGAACCTAGTTAGGTTCGTGGTCTGGTTAACCCTAACCTACAGCAAGATTTCAAGCCCCTGTTCTCAGCCTTTACCGAGCCACGCAACACAGTGAAAGGGCTGTGGTTCCCCTGGACTGTGAAGCTATCGAACAATGCCTAAACTTCCCCCGCTCATGCACAAGTCATGGTTATGGTACTCCAGTGACTGGAGGCGATGGCGGAGCGAGCAACGTTCATCCCGAGAGGCTTTTCGGTACTAGCCGTTTCTTTGGGATGTTGCCGCCCGCGGGAAGGTGTGGGTGGGCGGAAAACGGCGTGGGGCGCGTGCGAATGGCGGGGTTATACCGTGGGTTCGCGGCGTGGGGGTTTCCATTGTGCATTGCGCGCGCGCGCGGCGCTGAAGCTGGTGGTAGCGGCAATCGCGCTTCTTCCGCGCGCCGGTAGCTCAGCTCCGCTACAAGCGTCCCAAGGTGGGAGTTGTGTGAAGTGGTGCTGTGCCGCGGCGGTACTAACGCGCACTGCTGTGGTTGAGATGAAACCCGTCCCATTGCAACCGCCGTTGCCATCCCGTTGTCCCTTGGCTGTACGTTGCGCGTGTTACCTGTAGTACCGCGCCTGTGGGGCTCTGCGCTGTCTGCGCTGTCCGCCACGCTTCCTGCGTGCCCGCGTCCCCACGTTGCCCGCAATTTCCCGTAACACTCGCCTCAGTTGCCATATCGACCGCGTTGCGCACGTTCCCCGCGTTGCGTGGCAGCGGCGGTGCTGCAGGAGTGCGAAGCGGCGTGGAACAGAACTTTTGACGGGTGGACGGCAGGCGCGGAATGCTTGTTGGCTGAGAAGATCGAGTGCAATCCAGATGGAATGATCAACAGCATGTGAGACACACTGTGTACCCGCGTGCGCTACCCACGCAGCGGCTGCGTGCTGTGCTCTTGATGCGTGCTGCGTGCTGCGTGTTGGTCCTTCTCCTCGCAAGCGCTGGTCTGGTCCTGTGTATGGACTTCCCCTTCCGCTCCGCATCATGGCTGCAGTTTGGGCATCGCTTTTGAGAATTCTCAAAAGCGATGTCAAAAGAAGCGGTATCACTCCCTCTCCTCGCAAGCGCTGGTCTGATCCTCCTGTGTATGGACTTCCCCTTCCGCTCGCTCCCCATCATGGTTGCAGGAGCATCGCAGGCTTACAACTGAATGGCCCCATCCCCACCAGCATCGCCACCCTCACCGCACTCACTTACTTGTTCGTGTCACATTGGCCTCTTCTCCCCGTTCTTGTACCTTTGAGGTGCCGCAGCACGGTGCTGTGCAGTGTAGTACGGTTTAGTGCGGTGTAGAGTGGGAAGGGGGATGATAGTGGATGGTAACGGCTTGTGTCTGTCAGTTTCTTGCTTTAAGGTCTCCACCTTCCCACCCCTACGTAATCACATCACATCTGCTGCGGCTTTACATCTTACGCTGTTTCCCTCTCTCTGCCTATTGCCATCTGCCGTCTGCCCTCTCCGTTGCCTGCAGTGACATCGCCTTCAATAACTTCGCAGGGACCGTCCCGTCTTTCATCACACGCCTCTCCCAGCTCTCTCACCTGTGAGCATCTCCCTCCACCTGCTCAGACTTTTTTTCAGGTAGAAGATCGTTGATTCTAACACAACATTCTCTAGGAGGTCACATGGTGATATGATGACATCTTTGTCTTGTTTCGTGTCGTCATAAGCCCCCCTTCTCTATATCAACAGAGCTGTTGCCCCCAGCCGCCAGGCGAACACAACTCAGGGCGGATTTCTGGCTTCGGGTCACCCGCTCTTCGAGTCATCCGAAAATGTGGGATCCAATCGGAAATCCTGAATCTCGAGATTGGGAAGTTTCGATTGGTTCCCAAAATTTCGGATGACTCAAAGAGCGGATGACCCGAAGTTAGGAATCCGCCCTCAAGCATGTCACATGCCACTTTCCGCATGGCACATGTCATGTGCCGCATACTTGTCTCATCACATCTCAACCATGCCGCATGGCACATGGCAGGAGCTTTACTCAAACCAGGATTTCCGGACCCATTCCCTCCACCATCGGGGCACTCAAGAAGCTCGAACTTCTGTAACTTTGCATGGGTGCTGCTGTGCATGGGTGCTGCTGTGCATGAGTGCTGCCATGCATGTATGTGGTCAACAGCACAGCTTTCATTGATCTTCTTTCTATCCAGTGCCTTACGCATTCACCCCAACCTGTCCTCTCCCCACGATCACACCCGTGTCTTTCACATTCACTCCATAACAAAGGGAATGTACACCAGCAATTCTCACATAGCACTCTGCTCTTTCCCCATCCCATTCGCTACCCCGCATTCACAGATCCCTTTTTTGTCTCTCTTCCATCCCTTCAACCCCCTCCTCTCTCCACGCTCCACACCCCTCATGGCCCTTTGTCAGGTTCATATCCTATACCAACATTTCAGGAACCATCCCCTCCACCATCTCCGGCCTCTCCTCTCTCACCTACTTGTAAGTGCCCTCCGTCCGTCCGTCCGTCCGTCCGTCCGTCCGTCCCTCCCTCCCTCCCTCCCTCCCTCCCTCCCTCCCTCCCTCCCTTCCATCCCTACCAAGACTATTTCGTGCTGTGCCTAACCTCGCCCTTCGGATGTACTCTACTCTGCTGACACGTCTATTGCCCGTCTCGGCACATGTGCCCGATGAATACTAATGGGTAGAGAATTCTGGCTCACTGGAGTGTTGGTTCTTGATACGTGATGCACATGTGTCCCTCTGCCATTGTGATATACATGTGCCCACCAATTCCACCAATCCCATAAAAAATTGTCCACCAATTCCATGCTCTGTTGTCCTGACCCTCCCATTTCCCTCGGCATACTACCCTGCGATGCATCCACCCGGCAATGCATCCCCCCGGCAATGCATCCCCCCCGTGGCAATGCGCTGCATGCCAGCGACTGTTCCAACACTCGCATCAGTGGCACCATCCCCAGCACTATTGGCCGGCTTTCCAACCTCCAGAACTTGTATGTGGTGCTGAGTTGTGAAATGCTAGGGGTGGTACACGCATATACGCACACATGCACACACATGCATTCATGCACATGCTATGCACGGTCGCACCCATGCATGCAGGCACGCGCACGCACACACGCAGACACACAATCGCACGCACACAAGCACGCACGTACACACACACCCATCATAACTCATCCTCACCCCATCGACTCCTCCCATCTGCCTGTCGCTCACCCCACCACAACCGCGCTGTTCCAGGCTCGTCGCCAACACCAACTTGTCTGGGTCGCTGCCAGCCTCCCTCGGTGCTCTCCCCAATCTCGTTCAAGTGTTGGCCTCTTGCGCTGCTTCTCACAATGCCCTCCATCACACACCACATTGTTTGGGTGTTTGTGTGTGTGTGCGCGCGCATGCGTGCGTGCGTGTGGGCACGCGGGCAAGCGGGCAGGCGGGCGTGTGCATGGGAATGTGCGTGCACACGTGTGTGCGTGTGCATGCTTGGGAGGGGAGCAAGAAAGGGGGAGAAAAGGGGTGGTGGGGGGAGAGGGGGGGGCTTGCGCGTGCATGCATGTGTTTCAAGTCCCTGGCGAGACTCACCTGGCTGCTGCCTTGATTCCGTGATTCTTGGTGCCCTGAAGCCGTGCTTGCACAATTGCTCCATTCCGTTCTCTTTTCACAATCCTGTAAAACACAGGCGCACGCAAATGAGCACCCCAATTCCACACATGCACAGGCAAACTACTGGATGCATTATGCCTCAAAGACATGCTTCTCACAGAAACTTACATATACAAAGGCTGCTTGGTCAAGTACATAATATAGTATATTATGTTTTATAAGCTAATAATACTGTAGTAAACAGAAAAGCCATAATCGCTGCGCATCTTTGCCTGGTCGTCTTTCGCTTCGGCCTTTCCACTCTCTTACCCCTAACTCTTCCCCGCTACTCCTCCACACTCCCCGGCCATCTCGCCGTTCCAGAGTCATCCCTGGAAGGGTGACATGCGGCAGGGCTGGCAGCAGCTGTGAGATTCAGCAGAACGCCTCCTCCTTCTTCTGCCGGGTTTTCTGCTTTGACTTCTGTGCCTCCTGCATCCCACTCAACGGTATGAACAGTTAATGTTTGATGGCTCTGCTCGCCCGTGTGTCTCTGACTGCAAATGGAAAGGCTCCTCGAGTTCCTTTGTGAATGTGGCATACGAAGCTCTTAAAGGTGTTCGGCAGTCTCAATGGCATTCATCAGTCTTCACGGCGTTTGTCTGCCATGCCAACGTGCCATCTGACAGTCTGTGTTGGCATCACAGCTCACCATCACAACAGCTTCTCTTGCCCTCCACAATCCCTCGACTCCCTCTCTCTCTCTCTCCTCACAGGCCAACGCAGCCACCCTCCTCCCCCTCCGCCCTTCTCACCTCCTCTTGCTCCCATCCTCGCTCTCCTCAGCCCCCCCCCCCTCCTCTGTCCTCTCTTCTTGCCGTCTCCTCTCCACTCTCCCCTCCTCCTGCTCCACCACCCTCCACCGGTTTGCCAACCTCTGCAATCGTGGGGATATCCGTGGGAGCGTTTTTTCTTCTTGTGGCGGCTGCTGCTGCTGCTGTTGTGGCTGCTGGGTGTGTGAGGCGGGTAGGACCCCAGGGGTCGGAGCTACAGCCACTAGCTGCCTCAGGTGAGAGCAGATTCACTAGTGCAAGAGGCACCAACTCCCAGAGTTATGTGGCATGGGGCTGGCGCTGCGAACGCTTTTGAGTCGACTCAGCTTTTGAGGCGACTCAGCTTTTGAGTCGACTCAGCTTTTGAATCGACTCAGCTTTTGAATCGACTCAGCTTTTGAATCGACTCAGCTTTTGAATCGACTCAGCTTTTGAATCGACTCAGCTTTTGAGTTGACTCTAAAGCAGAGGTATGTGGCATGGGGCTGGCGCTGCTACCAAGGATTCGTGCCACTTGTGGTGCTTGGCTCAGTGATGGGGCCATTCAAGTGTGGCCTGGCGACCATTTGTCCTGCTTGCTCCGTGTGTATCCCCTGTCCGTGACACTTGTCTCGCCATCTGCCATCATCTCCCTTCATCTGCCATCATCTGCTTTCCTAGTTGCTGTGATCACCAATCCGCCCACAAACTACCTCCTTTTACCCACCTCTCCGCAGAAGCTTCTTAACTTGATTTCCCTCCTCCCCTCACCCTCCGCTCTCTCTCTCCCTCTCCTTCCTCCACTACAGCCTCCCATTTCTTCAGTCGCTCCCGCTGTCCCAAGTTCTCCATATCCCTCGTGGCACAAGCAACGGGTGGATGGAGTGAGGCTAGCAGGGTGGAGAAGCAGGGGTGGAGCAGCAGCAGCGGCAGCAGCAGTGGCAGCAGCAGCAGTGGGGGGCAGAGGTACAAGGCAGTGAGTCCTCTCAATGAGCGCCAGGCGTGGTTCGTTGTGAGGCGCGGCAACGACGAGCTTTCCACCGACTTCCAGAAAGAGGTGAGAGAGCCGTGGATGGATCTCCACTGCTGCTACTAGGTGAAGTGAGGGGGTTGTGAATAGTTGTCCTATGCAAGACCATATTGTGCCCCTTGTGGCGTGTGCCCTTGTAACCAACCCCCCCTCTCCTTGTGGGTGAGTCCTTCCCTGCCCAGGTGACCACGCTTTGGTCCATCCGCCATACCAACCTGCAGCGACTGCTGGGGCATTGCTGGGAGAAGCGTGGCACTGCCCTTCACTGTGACTCGCCTGCTGCTGCGGGTGCCACTGCTGGTGCTGATAGTGCAACGAGTGCAATTGTTAATAGTGCTGAGTGTGCTGGTGTCGCTGCTGCCACTGCTGGTGCCGGTTCCGGTGCCGATACTTCCAAGATTGCCAGTGCTGTTTCTGCTACTGTTGCTGCTGCCGTGGTGGAGCAAGCAGAGGAGCAGGTGCTAGTGTTTGAGTGGGTGCCAGGAGGCAATCTGCACAGCCGCCTAGTTGCAGGTACATCCTCTCCTGGCCTTTTTTCCTCCCACCCTACTCTCTCCAGTCCCGTCCCGCACATATTTGTCGTATCGCGAGATGTTTGTGAGGGTTCTCGCAAACCTCTTGCTAGATTTCCCTCAACACCACATCTATTCTCTGCTGTTTTGCAACGTTTCCCTCTGTTCCCTCCTCCTTCACTCTCTCCCGCTACTTCCCTCTGTCCCCATCTCCTCCTCCAAAACACCACTAACTCCTCCAGCCCCACGTGGCTCCGCTCTCTCCCCTCTGCTTCTCTCTGCTCCCCTCCTCCCCAATCCGTCATGCAGAGGGCTGCTTGCCCCTGTCCGCATGGCAGTGTCTGGATGTGACAGGCGGTGTGCTGCGGGGGCTGAAGCACATCCAGAGCCATGGGGTCGTGCATGGCCGCATACACCCTCGCAACATCCTGCTTGACACCGCCCTGCAGGTGAACAGTCAGTTGCCCTGCAGGTGAGCTGCCATCTGCCCTGCAGCTGACGTGCCGATTGCCATGCAGGTGAATTGATGCACGTAGGTGGAGTGGAATGCAGGTAAAATGGCACATAGTTGCAGCACCATGCACTCTTGGCCTCTCCCACACTCTCAACTCTCTTAACTCCTGCATTCCATTCACGCCGCTTCTTGCCCCTCGCCTCCTCACTGCCCCACCCCCATGCCTTCCCCTCAGCCTGTCTTGGCTGGTTGCATGGCCGTGAAAATGGGCGACCCCCTCCCATCCATTCCAACAGCAACAGCACCATCACCAGCGCCAGCGCCATCAGCAGGGAGGGTGACGCGGCCACCTGCCAACCATGCATACATGGACCCAATCCTGCATGCCTCTGCTCGCACCACGCCCTCCACCGATGTCTTCAGGTCTGCTTGACAATTGGAGTTTCCTGCCACATGTTGCTGCTGCCCACAAATGTTGCTGCTGCCCACAAATGTTGCTGCTGCCCACAAATGTTGCTGCTGCTCAACGCAACTCAACTCTCAGTCAAACGCCCGCCTCACTCCTCCTCCCCTCCCCGGCCTTACTTCTCTGCTCCCGGTCTCTGCTCCCATTTCCCCATGCTCACCTGCCAGCATTGGTGTGGTGATGCTGCAGCTCATCACTGGACGGCCCGCCTTGATACCCACAGTTGCAGGGAACGACTCTCAGCAAGGCACCAGCTCTGGCAGCGGGGGTGGCGGCAGTAGCAACAACAGCAGCAACAGCTTCAGCACAAACAGTTACAACAGCAGCAGTAGCAGCAGCAGCGGCTCTAGTGGCAGTGGAGCAGTGCACATTCGAGACTGGGTGAGTGCTGTGTGGGATTCCAGGGCTCTTCTTGTCGTTGTTTTGCAATGCAGAGATGCTGCAGGAAGGTGGCACACTGCACATGGACTCTGCACAGGCCCTCACTCTTTCTCTCTCTCCATATCACTGTACCATACACCTGCTGCACATGCACCCGCTGCATATGCACCTTTTATGCTTCGCTGACTACTCGTGCAGGGACACGAGTGAACCACACACTCACCTGCCACGTCACACCACCCCACAACTCCAGTGCGTCCGCCACTATGCATCCACAACAAGGCATTCACGCATCCATCTCCCTCCTTTCATTCCTCCTCCTCTCAACCCGACACGTCTCAAAAACCCCATTTCCTGTGCAGGCACACCACATGGTATCGCGCAACATCACGGCTGGCCTGCGAGCGGCCCACCTGCCGTCGGCACCCGACGCCATCGTGCTGCCCATGGTGCGCCTCGCCCTCTCCTGCACCGCCTCAGACCCCCTCTCCCGCCCCACTGTCACCGACCTGCTCCGCTCCATCAAGGCTCTCAAGCGCTCCCTCTCCGCCCTCCCACGTCCTGCCCTGCCCGGCAACGTGGGAGCGAGCGGGGATGGTGAGACCCCTGGTGCTGCGGGCGGTGGGGGCGCTGAGAAGCAACAGGGTGGGGAGATCGGGGTTGGGCTTGCAGGGGGTTTTAGTCAGAATGCGCTAGATGCAAAGCTAGACTGGCTTCTGGAGGAAGAGGATAGTGGCAGGTTTGTAACAGATGTGTAAGCGTGACCTGACTTGGCTAAATGTTTCAGTCGAAAGGAATGAGGGACAGATGGGTAGCCATAGATGCATCTTTTTTTCGACCCTCTCTTCCTCGAACAGCGTGGATCCAAGGGATCAAAACATCAGGGACCTCACCCTTGGTGCGCAAGGGGAAGACCGTGGTGTAACGCGTGTAGTCGTCGACGACCAGCAGGAAGTACCGCTCGTGGCCCTGTCCACGGACGCGGGCTGGGCCCCACACGTCCAGGTAGAGAGTCTGCAGGGGAGCCTCTGTGGGAGGGAACGAGGAGGAGTGAGGAGCTGCGCGCTGCCGCCCCTCGACGAAAGGAATGCAGGGTGGCGCAGGCGAGGGAGGGAGGGCAGGCAGAGACCTGGGAAGACCAGAGACCAGGGAGCGAGAGTGCATGCTACGAAGACGAGGCAGGGAGGGGTGACCAAGGCAGTGGTGCCACAGGAGAGTGTCGTGCGACAAAGCGCGACACTCGCAGGGGGCCGCCAGCTGACCTGACGCAGACGCAGCCACCTGAGGGGACGCAGTGGTCAGTGTGTACAGACTCGAGCCAGGCGCACTAGTGAACGTGGTCAGGTGCCGGCCCGTCTGAGCACAAGTACAGTGAGTCACTCGCTGACTCGCAGGAGTGAACTGGTGAACCCCCCTATCCTGGAGGTCAGCTCCACTCACCAAGTTCGTAGAGAACGAGGGGAGGTAAAGACCTGACAGCGAGCCAGACGGGGCGGCCGGACACGGCAGAACCGTGGAGTAGTGGGCAAGGACTGGACCCCCGGAGGGGTCCGCCAGGGAGACTAGAACTCGCCGACTAAGCGGCGTGAGTGTGGTGCAGTCGCGAAAGAAGGAGCGGGAAGCTCCTGAGTCAAGGGTGAAGGTGTGCAAGACCGCAGCAGGCGCAGTACCAGAGAGAGCAGACTCACCAGCACCTGGAGCAGCAGCCTCACCAGCACCTAGAGCAGGAGACACACTAGCACCTAGAGCAGCAGCCTCACCAGCACCGAGAGCAGGAGACGCACGAGCACCGAGAGCAGCAGGCGCTATACCAGGGTCAGGCGGTACGCACAGGTAACAGGCACGGTCAACACTAGTAGGCAATGCATACATGGCAGTGAGAATAGCATCATAGTCAAGAGCAAAGATATCTACCCTCTGTCCAAGCAGCTCCACCCAGGTAGGGAGCTCAGCCTCGTCGCCAAACACGGTACGCCAGGCGTCGCTCAGACGGGCAAAGCAGCGGGACGGTGTGTGACCAAGCGTCCCGCAAGGCTGACCAGTCCTAACACCTGTGCGAATGACGTACGGGCAGCGAACGGTACGCGAAGACCTGCTACACTGAGCGTACCACTCCTGGAGCTGCCGGGGCGTAAGTGTCTCGCGTGGACGCCGCTGCAGCTGCAGCTGGCCACTGCCAGACGCCCCCAACTGACCAGCTCCAGGGCGACTGCTACGACGGCTACCTCGACAGCCCCAACTAGTATACCACTCATCAAGCTGCTGGGGCGTGAGAGACTCGCGGGAACGACGCTGGAGCTGCATCTGGCCACCTGCTAGTAGCAGGAGTAGCAGCAGCAGCTCGGGCAGCTCGGGCAGGGCAGGCGCGGCAGGCAGGCAGGCAGGCCGGCAGGCAGGCAGGCAGGTAGGCCGGCAGGCAGGCAGGCAGGCCGGCAGGCAGGCAGACAGACAGGCAGGCCGGCAGGCAGACAGGCAGGCAGGCAGACAGGCAGGCAGGCAGACAGGCAGGCCGGCAGGCAGGTAGGCAGGCAGGCAGGCAGACAGGCAGGCCGACAGGCAGGCCGGCAGGCAGGCAGGCCGGCAGGCAGGCAGGCAGACAGGCAGGCCGGCTGGCAGACAGGCAGGCAGGCCGTCAGACAGGCAGGCAAGCAGGCAGGCAGGCAGGTGCTCACCAAAGGCTGGAAAGGGCAGGCGCTCGGCGGGCGAGCGGCCGGGTAGGCTTACGACGGCGGCGACGGCGGGGCCGCTCCGCGAGCGATTCGAGCGGGACTTTCCTGTCCTTCGTCTGCACTCTGACAGAGGTGGTGAGTTCACCTCAGACCTCTTGGCAGCCTACTGTGCGGAGCACGGCATCCGCCAGACGTTCACGCTTCCGGCCTCTCCGCAGCAGAATGGGGTTGCTGAGCGCCGCATTGGCTTAGTCATGGAGGTCGCTCGTACCTCCATGATCCATGCGGCTGCCCCCCATTTTCTGTGGCCGTTTGCGGTCCGGTACGCCGCGCATCAGCTCAACCTCTGGCCCCGTGTCTCCTTGCCGGAGACCTCGCCCACACTGCTGTGGACGGGGAAGGTTGGCGATGCGTCGCGTTTCCGGGTCTGGGGTGCTCGTGCCTTTGTCCGCGATACCACCGCGGACAAGCTCTCCGCCCGCGCTATTCCCTGTGTCTTCCTTGGCTTTGTCCCTGACGCGCCTGGTTGGCAGTTTTACCATCCCACCTCACGCCGTGTCTTTGCGTCTCAGGACGTCACGTTCGACGAGTCGGTTCCCTTTTACCGTCTCTTCCCCTACCGCACTGCCCCTCTCCCCCCCCCGCCGCTCTTCCTCGCTCCAGGTGCTCCCCAGGTAGACCCCCTCCCCGCGTTAGGTCCTGCTCCTTCAGGTGTGTCTCAGGTAGACCCTCCTCCCTTGACTGCGCCGGTTGAGGTCACTGGTGACTCAGGTCCTGCTGAGGGTGGTCCTGCTCGGGGTGTTCCTTCTGGGGGTGCTGAGCCTGGGGGTGCGGAGCTTGGGGGTGCTGAGCCTGGGGGTGCTGAGCCTGGGGGTGCGGAGCTTGAGGGTGTGGAGCCTGGAGGTGCTGAGCCTGAGTGTGAGGAGTCTGGGGGTGCTGGCGCTGGAGGTTCTGGAGCTGCTGGAGTTCCTGTTGCTGGTGGCGCTTGAGCTGGTGGTTCTGGGGCTGCTGAGGGTGCGGGCGCTGGAGGTTCTGGAGCTGCTGGAGGTCCTGGTGCTGGTGGCGCTGGAGCTGGAGGTTCTGGAGCTGCTGAGGGTGCTGGCGCTGGAGGTTCTGGAGCTGCTGGAGGTGCTGGCGCTGAGGGTGCTGGCGCTGAGGGTTCTGAGTCTGCTGTTGCGCGGTCTCCTTGGAGTGGCCGCCTTCGTCCGCGTGTGCCTCTCACCTCACAGCAGCTGCACGACTGGTACGGTCGCCGTCAGGGTCGTGCTTCTGGAGCTAGGGGCTCTCCTACTGGAGGTCCTTCTGCTGCCGTCCCTGGAGCTGGGAGTGGTGCTGGTCCCGGAGGTGCTCGTACTGGGGGTACTGGAGCTGCTGGGGCTGGAGGTGCTGAGCCTGCGGGTGCTGCTGCTGGAGACACTGCGACTGGAGACCCTGGGACTGGGGGTGCCGGTTCTGGGGGTGCTGGTTCTGGGGGTGCTGCTGCTGGTGGAGCTGGTCCTGGAGGAGCTGGAGCTGCGGTTTCTGGAGCTACTGGAGGTGCTGGAGCTGCTGGGGGTGCTGGAGCTGCTGGTGCTGGTGGCACTGCACAGCCGCGCCTGTTCTTTGCTCCACCGTCTCCGTCGTCTCAGCCACCGTCTGGCTCTGCCCTTCGCCAGGTTCTTAGTCTTCCGTCTTCTACTGGTCTTCCGTTACAGCCTGGCTCACCGCTGCCTGCTCCTTCTCCTTACACTGAGCAGGCAGGGGGTCTTACGGAGCGTCGTGAGCCTGCGTCTCGTCCTGTCTCGCCTGTTCGTCCTGGTCGTACTGGTCGTCGTGTTCCTCGTCAGCGTCAGCCGGCTGTCCCCGGCACACGCCTTGTAGCCCTGCGTCGGTCCTCTCCTCCGGAGCGTACTCCTCTTCCGTCTCCC